GGGACACAACTTGTTTGTTCCGACACTAGTGACCTTCAACTGCCAAACAGGGAGCAGGAAGAGGACCCAGGCCCCTCTGTTGCCACAGCTCGCCTGAGCCTTTACAACAGCTTCCTCGGCCTGAAGGCTCCATTTCTTCCTGAAGGAGCACCCAAAGCAACCTCAGGGAAGGAAGAAGGGAGGCTGAGCTGTGATTCCGGCTCTCCCGGTCACCAGTGATGTGACCTTGGACAAGTCACTTAACCTCTGAGGGCCTCAGTTTACTCATCTACAAAATGGGGATGAATGATACCCAGGGTTGTCCTGAGGATTCGGTGCCTCTAATCCTGAAGCTCCAGGAAGAGTATAAGACACTTAGTGAGCAAGACAGAAGTGCTTGTGAAATAAATGCCCTGGAATCTGCAGCGAGAATTGCAAGGCTTTGTGGACACCACGCCGAGAAGGGACTCTTTGCGTCCAGGGCCTTGCAGATCCACTGTCCCATCTCACCCTGTCACCACAGTGCCTGGAACACAGCAGACAGTCAAATCTCTGTTGAAGTACCAAATGAATGAGTGGATAAATGAGGAGTGCGGGATAAGCAAGAATACATAACATTGTAAAAAATTACGTATGGCCGTTAAGAACCCAGGATGGGACCGCCATCCCGGTTTCACTACTACTAAGAGGTCGTGTGATAATCAGCAAATGAGCCTGTCACCTTATCTATGAGACGGGGCAAAGAGCAGTAGCTGGCTGGTGGGGCTGCTGCGGGAATGAAGAAGGGTGATGTGCAAAGTGCCCACAAACGCTAGTGCCATTCTCTGTCCCCGGGTTGCAGTTGGAGGAACTGAGGCCCAGAGAGCTGGTGGAGGAGGCCCAGGCTCTCTCCCTGCCCCCCACCCCACCCCCACACCCCACTCGTAGGTGGAGTGTGGGTCCTCCTGGGGTCATCTCCGTGCAAGGCAGAGATGACGGGCTCGGTTTGAATTCTGGCTCAGCGGCACAGCTGTGAGACCTCCCTAGGTCTCAGTTTTCTCATCTGTGCCAGAGGAGCATAACCTCTACCTTTCCAGGAGGCTGTGAGAATGAATGAAATTGCACATTTAAGCCACCCAGCTCAGCGGGTACCCTTCAGCAAATGGCTGGGTTGTTATTATCTTCCCTGCCTTGGGGCCTCAACTCTGGACACTTTCTGGGTAGAGGTCTGTTTCTGTCCTTCCCTGCATTTACTCCAAGCCCTGTGGAAGTAGGGAGGTGGCCTGGAGATCGGGAGGTGGCCTGGGGGGCGTGGGAGGGGGTAGGGGCTGGGCCAGGCATTGGGGCTGCTCTCAGGGACGAAGGGGCCCCGTCTGGCTTCCTGAGTGCAGGACGCTAGATGGAGAGGGGAGTACCCTAGGAACATCCCTGGATGTGCAGAGAGGTGAAACATCCAGGTTGAGGAGCAGCCCAGTTCCCATGGGACTGTGGGGGCGTGAGACAGGGAGGCGAAAAGGAAAGAGATGCCTCTGGTTCTAGAGCAACAGGCTGAGGCATTTAAGTTTTATCCTGAAGGCCTCCGGGAGTTATAAAACTCTCTCGAGCGGGAGAATAATATGGTCAACACTGCAAGGATTTATCCGCCCCACATGTAGAGGGACTGGCCAGGGACAGGCTGAGAGCAGCCCCAGCTTCCTCCTGGGCTCTGATTGGCCATGCAAGGACAGGGACGGAGGACGGCGCCAGGCAAGGCTGGCACAGCCATCAGCGATGCCCCGGGAGAATGGCCAGGGAGGCGGCTCCCTGTTGCTTTCACAGGGTTGCCAGGGCCGGGGAATGAGGCCGGGGCTGGAAAGGGGAGCCCTGTGAAAAGAGTTGTGGTTTTCTGGGACCAGGAGTCAGCTTAGCCCAAAGACCACCAGCTCAGAAAAGCTGAGGCTATGGGGAGGCAGGAGCAGAGAAGAGGGGCTGGGAGAGGAGGGCCTGGCCATGGTGAAGGGAAAGGCAGGGGCCACAGCTGGGCCCGGGAATCCACCAGTCACCCTCCAGGCCTCTGCGTGGATTTGCCGAGAGCCAGGCGAAGTATGTGACCCTCTCTGGGCCTCTGTTTCCTGGTTTTCTCTCCAGTTACAAGTTTCAGAGTCAGAGACAATGGTATTGCAGGAGGCCTGGGCAGCCCCAGCCCTGGGTGGGAGGGAAGAGGGTGAAGGCGCCAGAGGAATAAACCGGGCTCTGGACAGGCACTTGGAAACTGCCCAAACATGGAGGGACGTGGGCGGTGCGCACATGTGTTTGGTGTTGTGAGGACACATCCACGCCCACACACACACAAGCTGCCAGCACCTAGCCTCAGACCCCTGGGTGTGTGGCCAGGAGGAATGAGGTCAGTCCCGGAGAATCTGCCCTGGACTCCCACACCGGGCCTGGGGGTCTGATCTCAAGCACAAGGCTTGGCCTTCTCTTAACTGGGATTTTCCATGGTCTGGGCCTAGCAGGGTGGGGAGGGGGAACCAATGATCGGGGAGAAGGTCCTGTTCCCTCTTTGGCTTCTCAGTGAGCCCCAAACTAGCCTGTACCCTCCTTCCCCCCAACTCCCTCCCACCATCCCCTCCATGACTAGGGGAAGGAGCACCTGGAGGATGCTGATGGCCATCGCTTGCAGCAATGCATGGGTACCTCCTCCTCCGGGAAGTCCTCTCTGAGCCCCTAGCCCCTAACTGGGGAGGCCCCTTGTGTGGGCCTCCCTAGCTCATCCCTCTAATGCCTGCCCAACCATAGCACTGATGTGTCCCCTATGCTATGCCTCCCCCAGAGCACGGCCTGGATTGGATGCATACCAGCACACTGGGCGCCTGGTAGTCTACCTTCAGGGGGAAATGTCTTTAACCCCAAATGAACTGTGGGGCTCAAGAGCAAGACCAGAGGCCCTGATAAGCGCCAAGCACCCCCAGTCCAGACTTGGCCTTGCCCTGGCCGGTGGCCTCTGAACTTTAAGAACTGTCGGGCCAAAGAGGGGGCCCTAGAAAACACACTGGCTTGGAGCACAGATGGGAGTCCCAGGCCTGACTCTGCCAGCAGTTCTATGGCATCTGAGGTCTCAGTTTTCTCCCCTGCCCAGAAAGTGGGGCACTTCTGGCTGAGCCCCACTCTGAGGTTGTGTATTCCAAGAAGAGCCACCGTGAAAGCTTAGCTCCCTCTAGATGGGATGACCTCTCCTCCAAGGAGCTCTAGGAGCAAATGAGGCACAACTATGAAGCACCCTGCTGCAGGATGGTCCTGGTGAGGACCAGCTGTGTGTGAGGCTACGCTGGGCAGGAGGATGTTCGTCATCACAGAAGTCCCCCGCCGCCCCCAGCTCCTGTCCTGAGCTCCTGCAGGTTCTCGAAGTGGGATTCAGCACCCAACTTGAGTGCTATGCCAGGGATGTGAAGGAGTGGGTGCTACCAGTGTGGACCTTCCTCACCCCTAGCCTTGGGCTCCAGCTGCCCCTAGGGAGACAGAAACCTTACCTCCACCCCCAAGAGGCAGCCTCTCACCCAGGTCAGTGTGGCTGGAGACAAGACAGCAGTCCCAGTGCTGACAGAGCCAGAGTAGCAAAGGCTGGCGGAGGGGGGTGGGCGGTGTACCTGTGCCCCTGGGCCCTGCAGGGCTCAGCCCTCCCCTGGTGAGTCCCACGCAGCGACCTCAGCGCCGAGCAGAGAATCGGGGCACCGACTGCCGCCTCAAGGAGGCAGGCCAGGGTTGCGATGTGGACACACAGGGGACTGCATGGAAAACCTTGACCAAAGCTGACTTTGGACTGGCAGCTACAGAGGCGGAAAGGGGGAATTCTAGGACAGCAGAAGATGGGCCAACAGTCAGCTAACCTTGGCCAGACCACAAGTGGGCCCTCACCACAGTAGCCTGCCTGCTAAGAGCATGTGTGGAGTTGTCCCTCTGAAGAAGGAAATCTGCCCCTTCGCTGTGTTCTCACGTACAGACGGCTTGGGCCTTCCCTAGACTAGGTCCTGTCTTCACGTCCCCTCTCCCCCCAAAAGATGCCAAAAGGGAGGCCTGTCGGCAGCTCCCTCCCAGGACTCTCCCCCACGCCCAGGACTAGAGTGAGCCGAGCGAAACGAGTGAGACACTGGCCTGGGCGCCAAAACACTCAAGGAACCAAGATGAGTAGTATTTGAGGCAATACTTTTAAAAACCAAAGCTAGTGCCAAAACATCTGTGATGAACAAAATATCAAAAGTTTAAATAAAGACGGGATCAGTACTTCTGAGCTTTCAGTTTGCCTCAGGCTCCAATAGGGCTTGGCATGGCACCACTAACTCTACTTAAAGGCTGGATATTTTGTTCATCACAGGTTTTTTTTTTAATGTTTGCATTATTGTTGATCTAAAAGTGCCATTAAAATATTACTTTTCTTGATTACTGAGTTTTTTGATATCCTCTTAAATTTTGCACCCAGGTCAATGCCTCACTACCTCTCTAGTCTGGCCCTGGCTGTGTCCCTCTGAAGGAACTCCTGTCATCTAGTCTGGACTCTTGCCTAGGGGAAGGGCTTCCTCCCTAACCTCCTGCTCAACCAGGCCAAGCTCACAGATGCTAGTGCCTGGGACCTTGCCACACCTCCAGGGGCATCCCCTAGGACCCTGCTGACCCTGAAGTTTTCTGATGTTGATGCTCCCTGCTTCACCCTGTGTGGCTGGCTCAGGGGCATCTCCAAGGGTGCCCTGATTGAAATGAGGGAGGGCCAGGGAGAAGGGCTCCTTCCCTTTGTCCCCAGATGACCCAAACCAGGTCTGGAAGGTGCCTCCTCCCAAAGCCTGGCCTCCAGCCCCTACCCATCAAGCCAGGGTCAGAGCCCAGGCCTCCCTGGTCAAATGCTGCCACTAACGATGAGAGGACCCGGGGAAGGTCGGGAGGTGAGACGCACGGTGGCTGTGGAATTCCTTTCTTAGCTCAGGGGAGGCCCATGGAACAGTTCCGCCGGCCATGACCGTGACCGATCGTGCCCCCGGAGGGTGGGCGGCGGGGCGCGGAACGGTACTCACCGCGGCCGTTCTGGTTGGGCCGGTACACGCTGCCCACGCTGAGGCGGCCCTGCTGCGCGCCGCCGCGCTCCCCACCGGGCGGGGGCGCGTCGGAGCTGCGCACCGGCAGGTAGGGCGGCTCCAGCACGCGGAACGGGGGCTGCGGCTCCACGGCCCGCGGCGGGACGTAGGCCTCGGGCGGCACGTTGGCGTAGGGCGGGTACCAGCCGAGGCGGGGGTCGGCGGCGTAGGCGCCGCCGCCGGCGGGCGGCGCGTCGGGGCCCGGGTCGGGGTAGGGCTGCTCGAAGCCGGCGGTGCCCTCGTGGTACAGGCTGTGCGAGTAGCGGCGATCCAGGCCGTCGGCGGGCGGCGGCGGCGGCGGCGGCGGGGGCGGCGCGTAGGGCCTCTCGGGGGCCGGGTAGAAGGCCTGCGGCGGGTACTCGGGCTGCTCCTCGCCTCCGCCGTACTCCTCGTAGCGCGCCCGCGGCTGGAAGGGGTAGATGACCCCCGCCGAGGCCACGGCCGCCGCCCCCGCGCCACCGCCGCCGCCGCCGCGGTAGTACACGTAGCCCTGGTCGTAGGTCCGCGACGCGGGGTCGTAGGTCTCGTACTGGCTGACGAAGGGCGCCTGCGGGTAGGGGAACTGCTGAGGGAAGGAGGGCGGCTGGCGGTAGGTGGTGGCGAAGGCCGAGGCCGAGACCGAGGAGGCGGAGCCCCCGTGTCGTTGCTGGGAGACGGAGGTGCGGACCCGGGCCATGCCAGTGCTGTCCCCGACGGCCACCTCGCGCCAGTTGTCGGGCACCTGGCCGAAGCCGAACGGGTGCCGCGCCTGGCCGCGCACGGTGTCCGAGCCGACGCGCCCTGGCAGGGGCAGCGACGGGGCTTGCCGACGCCGGGGGCCTCCTTGGCTGCGCCGCTGCGGGGCCTGGGGTGCGCCGGCTAGCAGCACCCGGGAGCTACTGTCGGTGCGCTGGGGCCCGGCCGGCACGTACTCTGAGCCGGAGTTGAGCAGGCTGTACACCTGCCCGTTGTTCTCCCACTGAATCAGCTGCCGCCAGCGCCCCGGGTCCGAGCCCTGCCCCTGCCGCGCCTCCTGCCCGTGCACCAGGACGCAGAGGCAGGCGCCCCACACCAGGGCCCCCAGCTGCCAGCATGCTCGGGGTACAGCCATGGTGGCCCCTCTGCAGAGGCCTGGTGGACCGAGAGGCTCTCAGGAGTGTACTCCTGTACGTGCTTCTCTTCCCACGGCCTCGAGGACAGGACGGCTCCTTGCCTGCCCCAGCTCTAGCTTTGTCCATCCTGGCCTTGTCCCGAGCGGGACGGCTCCTCCGATGACAGCATTTCGAGGCCAAGGGGTCAGGGCAGGGCAGGGGCGGTGCCCAGGGCTGCACGAGGCTCTCTGCAGGGCACCGGACAGGCAGGACTGCCTGGGGGCCTTACATGGCCAGCCCGGTACTGGCTGGCCGCTGGGCTGGCGCTTTCCCACTCTGAATGAATAAGCAACAGGCTGGGAGCGTTGGGAGGTTTCGGGCAGCCTGGTCCGCCTGCTGGGGCCTCCTCCGCGGGGCCCTATGGCCCGCCGGTTTTTAGCTATGTTGCCTGTCCCACAGCTGCTGTGCTCCCTCAGTCCCTGGAGCTCCTAGCCAAGCCACAGACCTGCCTCTGAGGAAGGGAATGGAGCAGGGAGTAGAAAGGAGCCTCTGGGGGTGTGTGTCTGTAAGTGGGGCCCTGGCAGGCGGAGCAAGGCTGGGGTGTCTCTACCACTATGGCCATTTCTCCCTGCTTTGGACCCAGCATCTCTGGTCTCTTTGGGCTTGAGCCCCTGACTCCTGTCCACTCCAGCCTCTCCCCAGGACCTCCAGAGCTCCCCTTCTCCTAAGTCAGTGCTAAGAGACCCCCTCCTTGTTGGTGGGCTATTTGGGGACATGCTGAATTTTGGACCCCAGGTGCACCTCAGTTCCTTGGGCTGAGTACAAAGGGGCTGGAGCTGTAGCTTTTTCCTTCTTGGGCCTTACTCGCCCAGTCTATAGAATGGGGGCATGCCCTTGTGGTGAGCAGAACTTGTGAAATCCTGGGAGAGGTCAGCTTCCCACGCATCACCTCACTCGAAGTTTCGGTTCTGTGTCTTTTGAGTCAACACAGCCTGGCAATAACCTGAGTGTGCACGTTGCTAAAAACGAGACCCAGGGGCTATCTTTGACATGAGATAGGAGGCCTTAAGTGCTGTCAGCATAGAAAAGCAGAAAGAGGGATTCAGGGGAACTAGGCCCGGTCCTGTTGCTGTGATTAAGTTGTCTGGGTCATCTTGGGCAAACCTCTGTCTTCTCCGTTCTGATCCAGTTGTCACATCTGATCCCTGGAGAATGAGACGAGATGGTCCTCAAGAGTGCTTTGGGAGTTTCTCTGTCCTCTCTGAGGACAGCAGAGCTGGGAGGTTCCAGAAGTTTGAATGTCTTAGCATCCAAGAAGTCACCCTCTGCAGGCCTCCTCTGGGCTGCCTTCTCCAACTTTGCTCCTGAACTGAAGGGCAGAAATTTCCCTCCTGTGCCTATACAGCACCTAGGAAGAACTTGCCCTTAACTTGGCCCCTGCAGATCCTCCTCTACTTTGGAAACTCCTGGAGCCCCCCTGGGGGAAGATGGCCAGTGTAGACATTCCTGGGGGGGCCCTGGAGCCCTGGCCCCCAGCATTCATTCACCCATCGTGCTGTGCCTCGGAGTGGGGCTTGATTCAGGTGGCTTCTGGCATCTGTTTACCCTCCTGATCCAGCCAGCAACCGATGGACATGGGCCCCTCAGCAACCCCGCGTGGGGTTAGGTTTCATGCCGAGCCAGGCTCACTGGGGGCCGGGACCTGGAGGGTTAAGCCTTGCCTGCCTCCTGCCTGCCCCCTGCAGTGCTGGCCCCAGCTGCTTGGAATCCCTGGGGTCCTGTAGGGCCCTCCCGCCAGCCAGAAGGGCAGCAGAGCCAGGAGAGGAGGAGGAGAAGGAGAAGTGGAAACAGGCCTCAGGGTACCCCCAGTCAGGGAGGGGAAGGGAAGGGAAAGGATGGAGGGTGGACAGAGGATGGCTGTGAGGTAGGGGAGCCCCACTAGCCAAGAGTGGAGAAGGCAGGACCCCTCTTCTAGAGCCAGGCAGCGTGCAGGGGCTGCCTCAGGCGTTTGGGGGCTGTGGGGAGATCAGGGCACAGGCTATCGTGCTCGGCTGGCCCCTGCCTCGGAGCCAGCTCTTGGCGTGAAACCCTACCCAGTGCTGGCTCCTGATCCTTTTTTTCTTAATAAGGTCGGATCAGAGTGAGTCAGAGGAGCCAAGTTTCCTGTTAGGCTCTGTTGGAATAAACCCCGCTCGGAACATAGCTTGGGCCTCTGCGTAGGTCCTCCGGGCCAGGGCTGTGGCCCTGCTGGCCACCTCTGCAGAGACCAGAGAGCTGGGGTCCCTAGGGTGACCCTGCTGGGGACCTGGCCTGGCCCTCGGCCATTCCCTGGAGAAGCCTGTTAAACTCAGAGCTTCAGCCTTCATCTGTCTCTTGGGGGTGACAATACCTTTCTTGTGGTCGATTTGGTAGGATGAAATGACATCACGAAAAGTCCCCCAGGCACAGTGCCAGGCACGCGGCCACCATTTTCTTCCTGCGGCACCTCCCGAGGGTGTTCCCCCTCCCCCCATTTTCTCTGTCCCTTTCCTGTTTTTATCTGTCTTCAGCATCCTTCCTAGTTTGGGGCTGAGTGCCACCCCTCTTCTTCCCTCCTCTCCACTCCCTCCCTCAGCCTCCTTCTCCCTTCCTGTCTGGATCTCCTGCATGCAGCTCTGGGAGCCCAGGGGAGCCTGCCTGGCTTCCCCTCTCCAGCCCCAGGGCCAGGCCTTGCCTCAGTAGCTGGAGGTGTCCTGGTATCCTTCGACTGCAACTTTCAGAGTGGCCATCTGAGAGAGACCTGGGCGGGCTGTAGAGGGTGCAGAGCTTGGCTCCAGGGAAGGCCTTGAGTCACCAGGCTGGGCTGGGCTGAGCTGTCTGGACCTGAGGGGGTGGGGTGGGGGCTCCTGTCTAGGTCCTGTCCTTACAGGCTGGGATTCACACCCACATTTTTAAGATCTAGCCATACGGTTGAGACATGTTACCAGTCCCTGGCACTAGGAACCAGTCTCAAGGGACCTCGGAGGGCTGGCGATGCAGGGCTGGAAGCTTGTTGAGAGCGCATGATTTCGCTAAGCACTTACTATGCTCTTGGATCTGGGTTGGGCTGCTCTGTGGCTGGGGCTCTCTCATGGAGCAGTTAGTGTCCCGTGATCCTGTGATGGAAGTCCAGGTTCTGGAAAATCCATGCAGGAGTGAGAGAGTGTCAGTCCTGACCAGCAGAGGGGAACAGAGAAGGGACGAGTGTGGGACGCCTCACTGCTTTGTAGAGGCGAGGAGGCCCATTGTGGGTCCGAATGTTTCTGTGATTGGGGGGTAGGGATGTGTCCCACACAGGGCAGGGCCTGGTCTCCCCCTCCTCCCTTCGATCCCTGACTGCTGAGCCCAGGCCCTGGCACCTGGGCGGGCAGCTCAGGAAAGGGCATTGATGGGATTTGTGTTGAATCGGGAACAGAAGGCCCAGCCCAGCCAGCCTTGGACCACGAACTACATGGCGCTGCCTCTGGAAAGGGGGCTGAAGGAAGTGCTGAACGAGGAGGCCTGGCGAGCTGGCACGGAACTTGCTGACTCTGCAGGGAGAGGACCACCGAGTGACCATTGCCAGCTGAGGCCTGTGCTCTCCGCTCCCCAGCAGCCACATCTGGCGCAATGGTTGGGGAAGCAGGGGGGCTTTGGTCCCCAGAGCCAGGCCAAGGGAGGGGCCCATGGTGGGGACTGGGGCCCTTTGGTTTGGAGTGTCTCTCCTCAGGGCTGGAACTCTGGAGAAGTCCGGAAGCGGGGGGGGGGGGGGGGAGGTGAGGGACCTTTGGGGGGGGGGACAGATGGGGTGGGAGTGGGGGGAGGGAAGGAACCCATCCTTCTCTAGGACCCAGGGGAACTCAGTAGCCCTGGCCGCCTCCCACTCGGTTTTCCCTCCCAGCTCTCTGGGCCCCTTCCCCTGTGGTTCCCTGGGGAATTGGAAATACCAGAGCTGAAATAACAGTCTGGGCACAGAGGCAAGTCTCCATGGAGGCAGGAAGCCCCCTAGATCCCCCTCAGCCACCCACCTGGCCATCTTCTGGTTTTCCTGACTTTCTCCCCCTCTCAAGAGGCAGGCGGGGCTGCGGCCTGCTGAATGGCTAACCTTGCCTGTTCCCACCCAGACCCCTCTGGCCCAGGACTCCGGAGCTGGTAGAGGCCCAGCTGATCCTCAGTCCAGGAAGGAAGAGAGGGGATCTCATCCCGGGGCCTTCCTCAGTGAAGGGATTGTGCAGAAACTGCCGTCTGGGGCCTGCTGAGCGGGAGAGCCCCTTCTGTCGAGGTGGGGGGTGGACCTCAGCCAGGAAGCAGTGGGGGTGGGGGGGAAGGAGGTTAACAGTCCCCTGCCCAAAGGAGAGAGCCAGCCAGACCAAGCAGGGTGCCAGTCCCCTGGGTTACGGCCCTGTAAACCCTGAGGGGAGAAACTGAGGAAGGAACCCAGTGATGCTGACTAATAACATCCTGGCAAGGCTGAGGGAAGTCTCTCTCCTCTCCTCTCTCTGCTTTTATTTTCCTGCCCCTGTTCATTTGGGTCTCACTGGGTTTCTCTAGCTTTTTGCTTTTTTCTCCACACCTTCCCCCATCTTGTCATTCATTTGTTCACTCATTCATTCACTCATTTACCTTCTCCATCTCCATTTCTGTGGCCCGCGGTCTCTTCCATCTGTCTGTCCTTTTGTCTGTCTTCCCCACTCGCTCTGTCTCTGTCTGCCCAGTTTGTCTCCCAACTACTCATCTTCACATTTTTTTTTTTTAATTTTTTATTTTTGAGAGAGAGACAGTGTGAGCAGGGGAGGGGCAGAGAGAGAGGGAGACACAGAATCCGAAGCAGGCTCCAGGCTCTGAGCCGTCAGCACAGAGGCCGACGCGGGGCTCGAACCCACGAACTGTGAGATCATGACCTGAGCCGAAGTCGGATGCTTAACCGACTGAGCCACCCAGGCGCCCCTCTTCATCTTCACATTCTGTCAGCATGTCCCCTGCATACCTGCTGAAGGCCAGGCCCCGGGCTGGTGGCAGGGGTGACAGAAGCCTCACCTGGCTGGTCCCCAAAGAGCCCCAAAGAGCAATCTAGTGAGGGCAACACAATAGACAAGACCAGAGTGACAAGCCCCCAGTGGAGGCAAGGGCGTTGTGCCAACTCTCTGTGACCTTCGAGAGAATTTCTATCTGTCTGTCCATCCAACCATGGTCCCTGTCCATGTGTGACTCTGTGTGTGACTTCACCCTTGGGAGGTGGCTCGCTTTCTGCTTTCCCTAGGGCTCATGCAGTTTGCTTATTTCCCTCTGGTGGGGGGAGGCCAGTGTTCTGGGGCGGGTGGCCAGGGCCCGGCGCTCCAGTGCGCTTCTGAGGCGTGAGACT